CTGGTTAAAAGACAGGGAACAAAGGGTAGGAATTAATGCTAAATTCTCAGAATGGAGAGGGGTAACTAGTGGTGTTACCCAAGGGTCAGTCCTAGGACCAATCCTATTCAACTTATTCATAAATGATCTAGAGAAAGGGGTAAAAAGTGAGGTGGCAAAGTTTGCAGATGATACTAAACTGCTCAAGAGAGTTAAGACCAAAGCAGACTGTGAAGAACTTCAAAAAGATCTCACAAAACTAAGTGATTGGGCAACAAAATGGCAAATGAAATTGAATGTGGATAAATGTAAAGTAATGCACATTGGAAAAAATAACCCCAACTATACATACAATATGATGGGGGCTAATTTAGCTATAACAAATCAGGAAAAAGAAGATCTTGGAGTCATCGTGGATAGTTCTCTGAAGATGTCCACGCAGTGTGCAGAGGCGGTCAAAAAAGCAAACAGGCTGTTAGGAATCATTAAAAAGGGGAGAGAATAAAATGGAGAATATATTATTGCCCTTACATAAATCGATGGTACGCCCATATCTTGAATACTGCGTACAGATGTGGTCTCCTCAACTCAAAAAAGATATACTGGCACTAGAAAAGGTTCAGAGAAGGGCAACTAAAATGATTAGGGGTTTGGAGAGGGTCCCATATGAGGAGAGATTGAAAAGGCTAGGACTTTTCAGCTTGGAAAAGAGGAGACCAAAGGGGGGGGATATGATAGAGGTATATAAAATTATGAGTGATGGGGAGAAAGTAGATAAGGAAAAGTTATTTACTTATTCCCATAATACAAGAACTAGGGGCCACCAAATGAAATTAATAGGCAGCAGGTTTAGAACAAATAAAAGGAAGTTCTTCTTCACAAAGTGCACAGTCAACTTGTGGAACTCCTTACCTGAGGAGGTTGTGAAGGCTAGGACTATAACAGGGTAAGAGAACTGGATAAATTCATGGAGGTTAAGTCCATTAATGGCTATTAGCCACGATGGATAAGGAATGGTGACCCTAGCCTCTGGTTGTTTGTCAGAGGGTGGAGATGGATGGCAGGAGAGAGATCACTTGATCATTACCCGTTAGGTTCACTCCCTCTGGGGCACCTGGCATTGGCCACTATCGGTAGACAGGATACTGGGCTAGATGGATCTTTGGTCTGACCCAGTACGGCCGTTCTTATGTTGAGAAATTGTGAGTTGGGGGAGGAAAGGCGGTAAAAACCAGGTATGATGATGTCGATAAGACACCCCTTGTCCATTCACCTATCCTTCTCTCCCTCTCTTTTCACAATAAACTGGAAATTCAAAATCACACTACCTCCCCGCTCTTTTTGATAGATTCTTTGTGTGTTGGCTACTATGGCAACTACAGCACAAGCCTCCAGTTGTGAACTTCTGGAAAAACTAGCACTCCTAGTTTAAAAGCTGGAAGAAATTACCATCCCATTTTAATACAAGTACTACCCTCATAACCCAAATATTACCCAAATATTTTAAATCTCTTATCTATCAGTTTTAATGCTTCATTTTACCAGGTCTTGTCAGTTTTACATTAGGAAGCTGAGAGAGGCTGACTGCCAAGACGACTAATGGCATTTTGGGCTGTATAAGTAGGGGCATTGCCAGCAAATCAAGGGACGTGATCGTTCCCCTCTATTTGACATTGGTGAGGCCTCATCTGGAGTACTGTATCCAGTTTTGGGCCCCCCACTACAAGAAGGATGTGGAAAAATTGGAAAGAGGCCAGCGGAGGGCAACAAAAATGATTAGGGGGCTGGAACACACGACTTACGAGGAGAGGCTGAGGGAACTGAAATTGTTTAGTCTGCAGAAGAGAAGAATGAGGGGGGATTTGATAGCTGCTTTCAACTACCTGGAAGGGGGTTCCAAAGAGGATGGATCTCGACTGTTCTCAGTGGTACCTGATGACAGAACAAGGAGTAATGGTCTCAAGTTGCAGTGGGGGAGGTTTAGGTTGGATATTAGGAAAAACTTTTTCACTAGGAGGGTGGTGAAGCACTGGAATGGGTTACCTAGGGAGGTGGTGGAATCTCCTTCCTTAGAGGTTTTTAAGGTCAGGCTTGACAAAGCCCTGGCTGGGATGATTTAATTGGGAATTGGTCCTGCTTTGAGCAGGGGGTTGGACTAGATGACCTCCCGAGGTCCCTTCCAACCCTGATATTCTATGATGAGCACAACGCACAGGAGTGCCCCCAAAATTGGTCTTTATGGTTCAAGTCTTTCAAAAGAAACCTTGCCCCTTTTGCCAAATACATATGCTTACAAGTACTATATTCTCATTCAAGCTATGAACATACTTTTGTGACAAGCAGTTCAAATTGTTTTTTCCACTATTCTTTTCAGATAAAGAGTGTCACCAGCTGTATTGGGTTTGGCTGATTGAACAAACTTATGCATCACAACACTGATATAGCAGATTTAAAATAACCTGGCAACATGTAATGACAACGTGTCCAAAAAACAACCCACTATATGAGGGCCTCAGGAATACGGGAAAAAGTTAACATTCTGCAAACACTGCTTGCAGGACCATTCCATTAAAACTGGAGTGATCCCCGAAAGTATGGAGTGGAATCCAACTGTAGATCCTTTCCACCAACCAATGCTAATACAAAGAAACCTAGAAAGCCATTTCTCATAGCTGGTTCCAGTAGTGAGAAACCACACACTTACAAAGTCGTCTTCCTCAAACTGCAGCTTCTCTTTTTCTTCTCTCTTCTCTTCTCTGGCCTCAACAGGCACCTTTTCTTGAAAGGCAGAGTTCTTCCGAGAGTGAAAGTTGCCATTCCAGTGGCGATGGACTCCAGTTCCTCCACCACTTCGTTGGTTCATACCATCATGGCCCCGCGAGGGACCATGCCAGCCAGGCTGATTGCCAGAAAGCCCAACATGAGCTCCTTTAGAAACACCGGAATCTACAGAATCATGGCGGAGCAGGGAGGGCTGATGCCAGCAGTCTAAACAACAGGAGGTAAGTATGCAAATAAAATAAAAGTCAATACAGCAAGAAGAAATCAGGAATGACCTGATATTTCTGGCATTGATCAATGCTCTCTAAATAAGTATTAGGCTAACCTTGCCTTAGTTCAGAGAGATTGACTTTTTTACTCACACAGACGAACAAACTGCAGAAGAATTTGAAAGCCACATACAACTTCCCCAGAAACCCACGGGAACACAGAGAGATGGCACATAAGGGAGGAGTGTTAGGATAAGTGGCTGTGTGTGTTATAGGGGATGTTGTTTTGCAAAGTTACTTTATATTCTGCATAGATCTGCATTCAGTATTTGGATATAGAGGGAGTTCTGATCCTCTACTCACCTCCCGTAGTTCTGAGGGGGCCGTTATTGAAAAATCCATCAGAAGAGTTGTGTCGTCTACGGCTCACACCAAAGCGGCCCTCACCCCGCGAAAGATGCTCTCCATGTTTCTCAAAGGTGGCTGCAGGGGACTACAGAAACAGATTAAGTGTCTTAGGCCACCCAAAGAGCCTGCTTGACAAGCAATGCTATTCTGATGGCTTGTATGAAAATAAAAAGACGTTCTCTGCATTAGTTTTCAGTAACTACAACAACAGGCTGGCTATGTGTTGCTTAGCTGACAAATATGGAAATATTTAAGTGAACACAAAAACAGCACATGTGACTGCACGTATCACCCGACAAAAAATCAAAAGCATGCTTATACATCAGTTTTACTAGCAGCGTCTTTGAAGTCACATGCAACACCTTGAAGAGTTTGTTTAAGGAATCTTACCCATTTTCCTACAGTGACCTTTCCTATTTGGAAAAGATTCTAGGGTCATATCAAGGTATTGCACATTTCGAAATTATCTGTCTCTCATCTGGTTTAAACATGAAGCTGAAAGCAGTTTCCTTATCAAACTGTTTTCCCTCCATTAATCTGATTTGCTATTACAAGGTGCTCTGGACTACCAGTGCCATGCATAAGCAATGCAAGTGTCTGCTTGAGATCCCACACAAACTTTACACCTTTGAGTCAGCCAGATCTACCCCTCAGATCTGGTTGTCACCCAATACCCCCAATTTTGGGATTTCATATACAAGCAACTCTAAATGGGAACTAGAAAATTCTGAGATGGGAACCAATGGCTTGTTATTGGTGCATTGCTCAGGAGTGCAACATTACTTTGAAAAGAAAGAATTATGCTGAATTTGTACATAAATATGAAGAGGCAGGTAGGCCAATTTTCAGTTCTACTAACTTTGGTAGTATCTCTTTAAATAATTTCCCATTATGAGATCTCAATGCAGACTGAAGTTAACATGACTTATTTACTTCCATGTTTGTGCACACAAAGGAAAACAACCCTTCTCTCTGGAACAGAGGTGGTTAATTTGCGAAGAAAAATCAACAGAGGAAGAGTTTTTGCCTGCGTCTTAAAAAGCTTCACACAGGTATTCAAGAACACAAAGAACATTCCAAACCAGGCTGCAGGCATTCAAGTTGGACAAAATACAGGGCCAAAACTTGCTTTAGCCATTAAAAGGCTTCTGGCTGGGTAATCTGAATGCAAGTTACCTTGGCTGACTGTGGCGTTGAGAAGTTAAGCCAGGCAGGAACAAAGTCATGCTGCGCCATTTAGGTCCAGTGTCTCCCTTCAATAAAGCGAGGCATCAAACCTCATGGCCAGGATCTACAAGTGGAAAAAAGAACAACTACATCTCCAGTCCGTCAGCCCTTGCTGTGCAATTATGTGGAATAATTACACTGTAACATTTAGGCCTTCTCTAGCGAACACGAAAAAAAAAAGTCGCAATCTTTTGCTGGGCTTAAATATAATTCTAACTAGAAAGCTGCCAACATGGTCTCTCTGGCCAGAATAGATAAGGCCTTTACAAGTCCCAAATACTTCCTGTTTACAATATCAACGTTAGCAATATAGCTATGAAATTCATGATGGGATTGGTCTGGGGGTAGAAAGAAGACAGAGCAAACTTGCAGTGCATAAAGACATGTGAAACACTCAAATTTATGGGCTTCCTCTTGCAAATTGCCTTGCAGTATGGTCCTGTGTGCACTGTATGTTTTTCTTCAGGAAGTGGGAGGGTAAATATTGTAAAGTTGCTAACAAGGGCACCAACTGAGCGAGATAAGAGTTCAAATTAGTCTTGTAGGGCAAGTCTAATCTAACTACCCCTCAATCTTAAAACTGTCTTAAGGCCCCAAAATTCTATGCACAGCCCATAGCTGACAGGCTGAATTCCTGACAGTGAATGGAAAGCGAGAGGGACAAAGGTAGGACACAAGCTGGTGAGAAGGGAGACTGGAGTATCTGTAACTGCACTTTCACGAGCTTTATGACAAACACTAGTAGTAATATGTAGGTGAGGAATTCAAGTTTGTGAACCACAGAAAAGTTAACTTTCCAACAATGTGTGGTATGACTCCCACCTTCAAGTACCCTAGGAGTTATTGTCCAACTGCTCATTCAGAATTAGTAGATTACATGGAGTATTGCATTTTGTGAGGGGTCCTCTTGGTTCCCTCCTTTTCCTCCTTATTTTCACCCTTTCATGGTGTTGTGCATGAGCCAAGATTTTGTACGTACATATAGAAAAAAAAGATGTGTGATCAACTACCAGAGTTTGGCCTCTGCAGTCCAATTCTCTTCTTGATTTCTGTGCTTCACTCTGACCTTCAGGTTCCTTCCTTCTCCAGAATGCAGTTATGTCAGGTTTGAGACAACGGTGCGTCTCAAAGCAGAGCACAAGAAGCTGCACTTCGTGCTGACGGCACCCTTCACCCCCTCAGCTGCTCATCTTAATTTCTCTCTGCACTCACACTAACCAAAAAAAAAAAAAAAAACCCTAAAAAGGTAATTTACATTTAAAAAAGCCACAACCACGTTCACCTCATTAAATTTCCTCTTGTTGTGGTGCTATGGAACTCAGATTTTACATTACAAAAGCGGTTGCTGGGTCTGCAGGACAACATTCAGAGCAACACCATGGTTAACAATGAACAGATACACCCAAATCTGCAGGATTATTCATTGTCTGTAGCACATCAGTTTCAAAGCTTGGATGGGAGGGGGGGTTAAATTATATAAAAACGCTTCTCCCAAATTCTGATATTAAATGGGAGACATCTGCCTAAGCATATGCTCTTAAAATACAAACTTCAGTTTCATCACATGTACAGTTGTTAAAAAATCCACGGTGCTAATCTTCTTAAAAATGAACAATGTCTTGATATACTTTTCACTTCATGTAACTTAAGTTCCCCTCCAAGAACTAAACGCTACTTGATGCGATGCTGAATGGCAGTCACAACTGCTTCTGTGTCTTTGCTGGTCACCATTGATGTGCTGAATAAATGAATCTGAAAAGAGCCAAGTCCAAAAGTACTCTCTTCTCTTTAACCTTCTTCCAGACTGGCGCTGCTTTTTAAAGGAGACCAATTATTCAACAAGAGTTTCTTGTTTTACTGCAGAGTTCACTTCTGGGTTATGGTCCTCCTCTTCCATCAAAAAATGGTGGAACACAGGAACTGTAATCACTACAAAGGAAAAATGAAAACCCATCAATAGAAGTAATAGAAATGTGCAATAACATATGTCCAAGCAGAAGAACACAAGGCAGAAGCGCAGCAAATTTATTTATTGCAAGTGCCTACAAAAATAAAAAAGCGGCCATCGGGTCGGCAATTTCTTGTCCAACTACAGAAAATCAGAAATTTTTGCAACGTCTATGATTTCCACCTAGTCACCCCCTAACATTTATAGGTAACAGGGTTCCTCAGTTCTAACCTAGACATCTTCCTTGTCCACCAGATCCCCAGCAACCTGCAGTGCTGCCCCACTCTCTTAGCCATACTTGTGGCTATGAACGGGACACAACCACAGAGGCTGGGATTCCAAGTAACTGGTTTTAGTGCAGCATAAGACACAAAAATAATTCTTACACTACACATTTGAGA